CTGTGCTGACAGATCCAGGAGATGCCTTTCCCATACAATGCCCAATTTCAAAAGGGAACAAGGACTTAGATACTTGCTTGTATTTGAATTCTTTAACAATAAAACATCCAAGCTGTCTAAGGCTTTATTATGAACTTGAACAGCATGTACATGATGACATGGGGTCAATATTAAGTTGAACCTTCAGGAAAGGACATTATTTACAGCCCTAATGGGCATCTAAACTTCCCTATTAAAGTGCTGAACAATATTCTTGTTATTCACCAGTGAGTCTTCAATGACAGAGAAACATGTGTCCCAAGCAAAGCCCATGCTCTAACGAGACATCACTCCAGTTCCCAACGCTTTCCAAATAAAACTGCTTGAAAAACAGGAGGAAACAGGTGTTGAAGACATTATGAATGAACTCGGTGCACACAGTCATTGTCTGTGCAACATTTACTATAAAGAAAGCTTGGGGAAATCCGTTCACTAATAATTCATTGTTTGCCTATGAAAAATATGTGTGCTAACAGCTTGCTCCACAGTCATTAAACAAAGTCACGCTCTTGTACTTACCCATTACTTTTGCTTTTTAATGCACATTTTGTTATGTTTTTTTATTTGGAAAAGAAAGCATATTAGAAAATTTTATTACTGCTTCTCAATGCATTTTGGTCAGAAAGACTAAAATTTTTGTTCTCTGAAAGCTGGATTTTTATTTATTTTTACTATATGCCAATAACTGCATAGGTCTTCCTTTTATGCTTTACAAACTGGAAATATCTACAATTTAAAATCTTGAATTCTGAGAAATCTTGAAGTTGTCAATAACGATATTTTGCTAAGCATGATGTGGGAGAGAAGAGGAGCCTAGCTCACAGAATCATAACAGATGCCAAACGACAACTTTCATTCCAAAAAGCCCTCAAAATGGTGTTGAAACAGCAACCTTTGAATTCAGCATTTTCTAAACCAGCAGATAAGATGCCTCGTATTGAGTAGTGTTAGGAAACCCAATGAAGGAGCTACCCACAGGTTAATCTTGATTGTCAGCAGTGCCTGGGAGGTTCTGGAGGACAGAGACAGCTTGTGCTGGGTACCAGCTCCAAGAAAATGAGATGGCCTTGATAGTCACAGACACAACCTCCCACCAGTCCCAGAGAGAAGTACAAAATGAGAGAGAGAAACTCAATTAACCAACAGCTGAGGCAGACAGTATTATTACTGGCAAATGAGCATACTTCTGGGGAAAACATGCCTTGTTAAACTGGATTTTCTGCTGAGTTCACAGAAGTTTGTGAAAGCGATAACGCAGATGTGCTTCTGTGAGGAGGCTCTTGACAAATCAACCTGGTAAAAATCAGATGAACTGAAAAGGAGTTAACTGGTATAAAAATACAGGATAATTGGGAAATTGTCATTAAGAAAATAAGCAGCTTGACTGTGTTTCACAGGAATCATTTTCAGCCTTACTTTTCTGAGCAAGCCCTAGAAGGGGGCATGAAGCAGCTATGAAATTCGCTGGTGGCACATCAGTAATGGGAGAAGTAAATGATGAAAAATAATAAGATCAAAGTTAAATATATATGCTGACTAGAACCATGAAAAGATGTTTCAAAACAGAAAATGCAATCTTGTAACAAAAGCAACTAAGAATGTCACAGAGCAAAGGACTCTCCATGAATTCAGCGCATCTGGAAAGAGCATCACAGACATGACCCCCAGGATGCCGGGGTTTGTGCTATGGTTAGAGGGGTGATGCAATACTTGTACATAAGAACAGGTGGTTATCAAATAAGAATAGGATTTATCACCTGCTGGCTTTAATGCTGTTTGTGTAATAGTTCAACGGTTTTACCCTTTGGAGAGGCTTCAGAGAAGAGCTGCAAGAATGACTTATGGACTGAAAAATGCAGATCACAAGACAACTCAAAAAGCTCCATTTCATTTGTCAGAAAAGAGTAAGGGCAAATATGATGAGATCATAACATGAACTAATTAAAAAATGAAAGCAGTTCAGTAGAAGTCATGTGGACTGTTTTATGGAGGAAGCAGAGTGAATTATCACATTTATTATTGTCTCACTTTATCATCAAAGGCTGTTTCTAACTTCCCTGTGGAAGTGTATCAGTCAGCTGTTACTGCCAACCTCGAATCCATACTATCACCTGGCTCCTCTCAGCAACCCAATGCAACATACAACAATCTTCAGATATTCAAAGGAATAGAAAAGTAGTGGAAAGCTTCCCATTCTCCATTCCAGACTGCTTGTATTCAAAAGTGCACGTTGAAAGAGGGGGGGTCTGGGAGATTTTTTTAAAATATTAATTTCTTGATTCAGAACACAATGTATTGAGGGGGAAAAAAAGCTGTTAACAAAGTAACAAAAATAACAGTACACTGCCTATCCACTGGTTAAGCAATGCTGACATTATTAACTAGGCCACTCAGTCTATGGAGAGCAGTAAGTTCCCACTGTGGTCTGAGGGACCTGTGCGCCCAACTGGTCACTAAAGGAGCCTCTTCCAACCACCCTCACCCCACAGCCCTGGCTTGCAACACTCCCTTCTCTTCAGCTCACTGCCCAAGAGCACAAGCAAAGATATGGCTTACAACAGGAATTGTGTACTTATAGAAGTTTCCAGACAGAATATTTTGTTCACAACATACACACTGTAATACCATTCATGCAATTATATCTCAGTGAGGATCCAGTGGGGCTCTGCCTGAGCTGGGGATGTAAACAAGCAATTCAGTTTCACTCACTGTTGCCAGGTATATGAGAACAAAGGAGAAACTCCCTTACTCAAGCACTAATATCACCAGACACGTTATGCCACTACAATACCACTCACTATTTATCCTTTACACCCTTTAATCAGGGCAGTTAGTTGTTTCCTCACCACAGCAAATGATAAAAAATGAAGTGAGAAATTATTATAAGTAACTTTCTTGCTAGCTTTGGTCATAGCTCAACATCACTAGAGAAGTACTGACACTGAAAAATAAAATTATTAGAAACTGATCTCAGAAAGGTCTGAAAAGGACAATAATCCAGGGGTCAACTTTGCCAGGGAAACCTATGGATCCTCCTCCAAAAATCGTAGGGCAGTGTTGTCTTTGGATTATGACTTTCTGAACGTAAGCCCAGCCCACACTCCCAGCTCTGTGACCTGACTTGCCCTGCACCCGGTTTCCCAACATGTAAAAGAGCACAGAATAATTACCAAGTTTGGTGAGCTTTCAACAATTGTAGGAACAGGATGCTGATGAAGTGCAATATAAGGCACCAAAGATGTTTAGGTCTCCAAATTTACGTCTTTTTATAAGCCATATGCACCATACATCCACGCACAGAGCCTTATTCTACTGGCCAAAATAAAGAGACCAAGGACCTCTCCTCCTCTGTGTGGTCACCTCTGAAGGCCAAAGATCTGTCTGTGGAAAGAGGGCTTACTTACACAGGATTAAAGAACTTTTGTAGCCACTTGAACTAAAACTCAACAGTGAAACTGTATTAGTAAAAAAAGAAAGACATAACTATCACCTACTCCAAAAACAGCAAGTGGGAAATCAGAGTATTAGTGAAGAACAACATTGTTTAAGCTTTTTGCCATTTCACAAATGCCATGAAACCTCTGCTTTCCTTCTCAGATAAGCAAGGGCAGAGGAAAAAATAAGATGATACTTCCAAATGTACTGATAGCATTTGTGAAGAGAACCTTGTCCAACTGCATAGACAGAGCTATCAGCTGCTTTATGCACAGTCATGTCCATGACAGATCATCCTGTATACAATCAACAGCTATAGATGAACACACCATGGAGTGTTACTGTGCACAAAAAGTCATTTAGCAACTAGGAACCCTCTTCAATCCAGCTTTTTCCCCCAGGAGATAACACTCAATAAAACCTGGATGGAAACATCCCCTTTTAAAGTCTAAAAACTATTGGCAAACATTTCTGTAGAAAAAAATAATAATATTGACATTGACTTACTATATTTGAGACTAATTCTTGATTCATATTAATAGGCAGACTAAAATACAGACAGAAAAGTGTTATTAGCTCTGTTTCTGCTGAGTCTTTGCCAAGTGCCCGTAACACCAACAATAATTTATAATTAACTAAGCAATCCTTCTTAAGCAGATGCACAACAGTATGAAAAAGTGATTCAATTAGAGTCTGTAGAGAAAGCTGCTCAGTACTAACAAAGCATCCCTCACCATAACTTCTGAAACCTGTCCCATGAAAGAATGCACACTAAGATTTAATTAAAAATAGCTGTTACTCCTAGCCTTGATTAGCTATCTGGAACACTTGATAATAACTAGCATCCACCAGTTCCTCTTGCCAAAATCTTTCCCTTTATATTTCACCCTCAACTTAAATGAAGTGGTTGCTAACTCCAAGCACAAAATTATGTGAACCAAACAGCCTACACAGTAGATTCCAGTTGAAATTTATATTATGAAATTATGTATGCATATATATATATAGAAATACTTAAATATATAATGACTTGTAAAGTCTAAAAGGCTGCATTTATCAGAGGTGACCTAATTTTGGCCTTCCAGGACCTGATGGGAGCCTACAAGAAAGACAGAGAGGGAGTTTTTACAAGAACATGGAGTGACAGGACAAGAGGGAATGGATTCAAACTGAAAGAGGGTAGGTTTAGATTAGATACGATGAAGAAATTATTTACTCCAGGGTGCTGAGGCACTGGAACAGGTTGCCCAGAGAAGTGATGGATGCCCCATCCCTGGAAGTGTTCAAGGCCAGGCTGGATGGAGCTTTGAGCAACCTGGTCTAGTGAAAGGTATCCCTGATAACAGCAGGGGGCTTGGAACTGGATGATCTTTAAGGTCCCTTCCAACCCAGGCCATTCTAAGATTCTATGTAGAATTGATGCCACAGAGTACTTTGCCCATAAAAGTTGGAGTTAACTTACTATTGATGGGAATGCCATAATTAGAGCCTTCCCAACTAATTTGATTTCAAATATACATTTCAAGTGTCCACAGAAGTTTCTGGATGGGGCTGTTCTCCTCACACTGAAGTTTTCAGCACTGCCTTTTGAACTTGCATCTTCAACTCTAAACAAGTAATTACAACGCCCAGGCTTGTTCCAAGCTTGTTGACAATGACATGGAACAATGTTAATGGATTAATAGGGATCATCCCATTAGTTTTTGGTTGTTTATCAGACTGCCATCTTTGAAAGCTTTCAGTATTGCCTTGCTTTGCTCATGGCATGGCTCTGAGTCAGCAGCTGCCATCACCATGGGCAGCCTTGCACAGTTTTCCCGTTTTCAACAGTTACACGGTTTTCAGACAAGAGAAGGGAGAGAGCTGCTGCAAACCCCAGGGAATCACTTTCTGTGTGCCCCCTTCCCCAGCCTCTAAGGCACAGACGACACAACTTCAGGGATGCACCATCTCCCTTTCAGTCATTAACCATAATCCATCCTCTGCAGACAACAATTTGGAGATACAAGCATAGGCTATGAAAAGCAGTCTAGTATTTTCATGAAAAATACTTCTTACTCTGGAAGAGCTGGTCAAGGACCAGCACTGCCAAGGACAGGAAGGTTGGGGAAGATCTCATCTCTTACCCAAAATGTCAAGTCAAATGGTGAAGAAAAGCTCTTAGTGTAGGCTTGTAACTAGAGAAAGGCACATTCCCAGCTGCTGCACAACAGTTGGTATTGAAAGCCCACACATCAGAAATGACTGGACACGTGGAAACAGAGGAAAAACCCTGGTCCTGTGCTAGGGATGCTCAAATTGCTAACAAGGGTCTCCTGGATAAATTTACACTTCATTGAGTAGCCCAGCCAAAAAGGATTTTTAGAAGTTCCCATAAGTGTTCTGTACCCTCAGTGAACCTTTAACCCGAGCTTAAAAAACTAGACTATAGTGAGAAATTGAGAAACACATCATTTGGTTTGTGTGTTTTGGTTTTTTTTTTTTCGTTTGTTTTAATACAGGGAATACTGTTGTGAAAAACACTTTTACTTGGTATGATCATACATAGCAGAAATTATCCCTTCTTCTTCTCCTGCATACCCAGAGTCTTCAGAGTTGAATGCACCAATTTTTCCTCTTTTCACAGAGTAACACAGCATGTCATGGAGGAATGGCAGACTGAAGCCAGAATAGTGCTGATTTTGACATTACAAAACAAAGATACAAGGAATTAAATAATTAGAGCCTTAATGACAGAGCACAATGCATGTCTCCTTTGATAATCTCTTGAACTCTATAAAGATAAAAGCAGGGTTGAAATGTGCATACAAGATGTGCAATAACAGAGTTTCAAAGCACACTGAAGCACATTGTAGTGTACCATTTCATAGTACTTTAATATCTTAAAAGATTAGCCTGTTGAAGCAAAAACTTCTCTAGTTGTCTGTGCTACTTCTACCCTTTTGTGTCTCCCTTCCAGCTGCTTTCCTCTCACCTCCTCTGCTGCACTACTGTTTGATAATAGCAGAAGTAACAAGGAATTAGTACTAATTCCATGTATTTCTCTGTTCTTCAAGGTCATTTTTTGGAAAAAAAAAATATTAATAAATCATAAATTAAGTCCATTACTGAAAAACAAATTTTACTAAAAATTTGCCTGCTTTTATTTTATTTTTTTAATATTTGAAATTATCCTTGCCACTTGCTTTCAACTTTTATCTCAATTCTCATCCTGTCATATCATCAATCTTATCAACTAAGGGGGGGAGGAATCAAGATCCATTCAAGCTCAAAAGAGTTTGCAGCAGACTAAAAGTCAATGAAAGACATTCCTTAGTTGCTCTGTCCCCTACACTGAAATGGAGGGCTGAAACAGAAATGTTAATGACAATGAAAGACAGGAAGATGCTGATATTTATCATGAAAGAGTGCTCTAGGCTGTATGAAACAGAAATGCAAATTCTTATTCATGATGCTGGATGCACTGGATGTCTTCTAAAGGGATTATCATCTGCTTGAAAATAAACACAAAAACTCTACTACAAACTTGGTTTATATTTTTGATGGATTAGTAAAATAGCACAGAGCTATGAATATAGGTTTTTAATTTAATCTTATTCTTCCATATATTATCATCATTAAGGATTACTTCCATGGCTTACTGCCTGGCATTGTTATTTTTTTGTATCTCAAAATATGATAAAGTGCATAAATAGAAAAAAGCTACAGCATGCCCCATTATAAACAACCAGAAGTATTTTGCTGATTTCACTTTATATTGCAGTAATAAACAGAGTGCATCCTGATCCCATGAATGTCAAAACCAGTCTTACTGCAATTCGAGTCGCTCTAAGAGGAGCTGGTCTATATTTTCATGATGGAGGCAAAGAAATGCAGGTTACTCTAATTTGCTCCCCACATTGGCCAAATTTAGACTATGACCTGCAGCCCAGTCTGATTTGAGCACAATAATTAGCCTTTACTAAGCTAACTTGAGATGCCTCTAAGAACATAACTGTTTAAGTGAATCCCAGACAAAATGCTGATGTTAACAGGTTTTCAGTTATAAAGTCATATACAAGGCAACTTTCTCCCCCAAATTGAACCACTTCACATTACTTGTGTGTCTAATTAGCTTACATATTAGTACTAAAAATTATTGCTGGTCTGTTCTCAATGTACCTTTTAGCCATTATATGGCTAAAAAAAAGGAAAAATCCAATCAAGACAGAGGCAAAGAAGAGTCAGATCCTACGTAAGTTTGACCATGTAATTTAGCATTTTACATACATATTCAACTTGTGTAACTAGCAACGACATAAGCTGCAAGATATAAAAGAATCACACCTGTTTTGTTACACGAAATTAAACATTTCTTATTTTTATTAAGAATTCTTGCACTGCTGTCAGGCCATGCCCCCAAAGAGGAGATTCTAATACTACTTTGTCATAGGTTGAGATTGGCCCCCCTGGGAGCCAGGGGGCTCAGAGGTGATGGGGTGCCAGGGCAGTGTTCCCTGGAGAGCCAATCACCATTCATTCCTAGATTCCTAGATTGATTCTAGTCCAAGATTCCTAGAAATACAAGGATTCTATATCACTTAACCATCTCAATACAGGGCAAAGTGACTTCAGGCACCCTGGATGATGGTCATAACTAACCAAAAGAAGCTCAACCAAAAAAAATCTCAAATCTGACAGGCACAATATATGAAAAATGTTCTACATCTTCTTTTTCAGAAGCTTCATAAACTCCATTCTGATGGAGAAAGTCTAATATTCTATTCTGTATTAGGTGTGGCATCTACATATTTGTCTTTCATAATACAGGGTTAGAACATTGTTTTATTGTCCACTGTTTTACAAGTCCATTAATGTGTTCCTGTTCAAAGCAGCAACACTTCTATCTTACAACAAGCAATTTGAGGACTAGCTTACTAAAGCTATGCTGCTCCTATTTTAAGTTGCATTACTTGTATTTACCAGTTAAGACACTGCAAGAATGTTTCTGTCTTTTGAAAAAACAGGGAAGAAAGACGGTTGTTTGCATTGCAGAACTATTCCACATATTGTTGCCGAATTCCTGAATGTGATAGATTCCTAGAATCAATCACGCTTCTGCTCAAAATCATATATACACAGCACTGGGAGCTGCTGGCAGTTTTGCTGTTGGTGTCTGCTGTGTGTAGGTTGTAGAAGGCCAGGGGGTGGCTGGGCTCCTTCTTGGACTTCATGAGGAGAAAAAACTGCAACAAACAGCTGAAGGTTGGTTAGGGAGTGTTCGGGGGCCCAGAACATTCCCACATGAGAGAGACTGCATTACTTAGCAGCCTTGGAAGGCTCTTCCTGGACTAAAGTTAAAGGGAGGGACTTAAAAGGACTGATAGAAATGTAATATATATATATAGTTGCTTTTAGTTTGTACAGAGTATATTTATTTGTGTAAATAAATGTATATACTTCCCCCTTCCCCTATAGAAGCCTCTGGCCTGAAAGTTTCTCTCCGGTGTTGGGATAAATTGTGGGAAGGGGTGGGGGAGGAAGCCTGGAAATTGGATTTTGGATTTCTAATGTGGCTCAAACTGCCACATACTTTTAAGCTAATTAACAGATTTTAAAATAGCGTCAAACTATGCTTCAAATACCCTAAAATGTGCTAGTTGTGAGCATAATGTTATTTTCAGAGGCAACCAGCCTCTGAAAACAAGATTAGTTTCCAAGCCCTACTCTTGCTACACAGAGTTCAAATCACGGACCAAGGAAAAAAAAAAAATTACTTCCTGCTGCTACTGTTACAGCACTTCACTAGTGTGAATAGTAAAAAATAAATAGACCTGAGAACAAGCTATTATTAGTTTTCCTCTGCTAATAAATATTACTAATGCTGCTTGGTTTACCCTCCAAGCACTTGGCCCAAAAGAAGCAGCATTCCACTGATCTTTGCTCCGCAACGCAAACCACCACCATGGAGACCATTCACAGAATGTGCTGAGCTGGAAGGGACCCACAAGGATCATCAAATCCAACTCTTGGGCCTGCACAGGACCATCCCAAAGAGTCACAACGTGTGCCTGAGAGCGCCATCCAAACGCTTCTTGAGCTCTGTCAGCCTTGGTGCTGTGACCACCGCCCTGGGGAGCCTGGTCAGTGCCCAACCATTCCCTGGGCAAAGAACCTTTTTCTAACATCCAACGTAAACCAATGTAACCATTGCAGCAGGATACAGCACAGCTCTCCCAAACGCAGAGTTATGTGGGAAGCATTTCTGAAAACTGCACTACAGCATTACCAAGGACTGGGAAATTTCGAGGCTTGGTTCATCGAAGTCCCAAGAATGGGAATGAGAGGAAGAGGGAAGAGAGCTTGCTAAAAAGGGATATCTGCCTCAGGATGCCTTCCAAAAATTATGTGTTCTATTTATATGGTTTGGAAATGCATTGTACTTCCCTCATAGACACAGAACATCCCTGAACAATAAAAAGTGAGGGACCTCTTTGGCTAAATTGAACAGTGCAGGTAAGACTGCACAGGCTGGGGAACCGAGCCTTTGTTCTACATCTGAAACATTCACTCTGATACTGTTCCCTTATGAAGGTTCATTAAGGGGTTTTAAATCTAAAGGGCAAGCACAACAAAAGTGTTCTTAAATAAGTTCATTTCAATCTGCTTTTACCTGTCACAGATAGCTCAAATAAACCTTCATCTTGCAGCATTCTCTGAGCTGCAGCACCAGGATGACTCTTACTTGTGCTGGGGGTGCCCATATTCTACTCATTGCCCACCTTCCAGCTGAGAAGCCCCACACTCACCAGGGCTCAAACACCCACCTAAAACCCCATCCTGCACCCAGCTCCAGTGACCACCTTTGTGCCACCACCTTCTGCCTGCTGCATCCAGGGAGCAGAACCTGAGATGAAGGAGAGTAAGGCAGTGTCCACAGGAGGACTGGGGAGGACAATTGCTCGTCAAAGACCTTCTGGTGTGCTGGCAGAACTACAGAAAAGACAAGAAACATTTAATTACAAAGTCTTTTCTAAAAAAAAAAAATATATATATTTCTTTTCGTCCCTTTTCACTGCATGTGGAATCACTGTGAGCAGCATTTATACCACTGTGATTCAAATTCATTTTCCAAGTACTATGAGGATTAAGCACATATGAACAAGAAAGAAAGAAAAAAAAAACAGCCATCACACATGAGAAATAAGGTCTGGCTTCCATTTCAGGGAATATTAATAACTGAAACTGTTAACAACTGACTGACAAAAACTGTTCTGCTTTCTGCGGGTTTAACTGCTTCTAGGCAACATTATGATTACTGCTAATAAGCCTTAATAACAATACAGAACAGCAAATCACAAAATAACTACGCTTTCTGGTCAGAATGGTCTCCTGCAGCCAAAAATACAGCATGAAGGCGGCTTGAAAGAGCCAAGTGAAATCAGCATTTGATATTCATGAGGGAAAGGACTTCGTATACGAGGGGAACCATTTAGACATATTTCAGGTCCTGTTAAAACTGGCTCACACTGCCTTATTAACTGTATTGATAAAACAAATGGGGAAAGGACTTTGTTAATGGGAGAAGAAAGGTCAGAATTATAAAAAGTGGCCCATGTAAGTATCTAAGGAGTCTATACATTAAGTCCAAGTTCTCATGTCTGGTTTGCTACCAGCACAGATTTGCTCCATCACATTGAATAATGCTTTGCTGGGGTGCCAGGGTGCTGGTTCTTTTGAACCTAATGGTGTTCTGGGACCCAATGCCTCAGAAACACAGGGAGTCCTGGGATGCTTCTTTGGAAGCCCAGAGATGATACATATAAGGACAGTATAGCTGCTTCAGAAATATTTCCCCCTCTATTAAAAAGGTGGCTTTTTCATCATTGTTTGGGTTGGAAGGGATCTTAAAAACCATCCAGTTCCAACCTATCTGCCATGGGCAGGGAGACCTGCCACTAGAACTGGTTGCTCCAAGCCCAATCCAATCTGGCCTAGAACACTTCCAGGGAAAACTTGACAACACATTAAATTTCTCA